ACAGTATTGTCAGCGCCTCAAACAACTAATTACAATGCAGCAAATCAGAAATGCTATACATACTCAGTGCAGCACTGCATGATCATCAGGAAAAGCAAATCAGGACTGCTCTTTGCACCAATGCTCACACTTAACTTCAGTTCTGAGTTCTGACCAAGCAACAAGGGCACACTGCTCCGTACTAACAAAAATGGCATTCCAGAATGTCAAATGCTAAGAATCGTTCATGAGGACAAACTAAAATGGCAGCTAAATTCTCCGCAGCTAGATCAGTTGCTCTGTTCCTTTCTTTACAGCACAGCCGGATCAAAACATGCCAGGTACATCAAGGGTAAGTAGCCAACAAATATTTTCTTACTTCAGCTCACTGTGGCTGCATAGAGGGAGTGTCCTGACTCACTTCCACTGAAATCTCTGGTCTTGCAAAACTTTGTATGACTGCAGATAGTCTCTCCCAAGCAGACAACGAACGGTGGCAGGTTATTCTGATCCTCCTAAGGACTGTTGCTACCCTGACTAAGACCCTCAGAAGGTCAAGCTCATGTTCCTTTCCTCCGAAGTTGAGGATCTCTACTTCTCCGAGAGACCTCATCGAAATGTCCTTATTATCTCTCCAGTTTGGTGGCCAATCACAACTGCAGTTCGGTGAACATGCATGTTGAACCTGAAATTACAAGATCAGAACAAAATATGAGCTAGTAATGAGATTCATTACCTAACACATTGAGCTAGACCAGTCTAAAAAAAACACATTGAGCAACTGAGAAAACTTTATTTTGTATTACAAAGCATGATTTCAGTGCTATAAATAACTCTTATACTTAAAGTTTCATGGATCTATTTCATGGCCAACTGATTGTACGATTTGAAGGACAATGAGAAAGAATAAAAAGTGGGACATAATGATAAGACAATTATGTGAATTTGGTCACAAAAGGCCCTGTTTATCAGTTAACTCGATCATATCAAGAGTTACTTTTGCTATGTCATCAATAAGGCATTATTGGTACCTTCCTGCCTAAATGTAACTGACGGAGCATATACAAGAGAGTAAGGATTCTTTAGACATAATTGTGTGTGTGCACCTACACGTGCTATCGTGGCTGTCATGGCTAGCTCACTCCAAAATTCTCGCTACGTTTGGGTACAGGGTTTCAAAGAAAATAATACGAAGCATTTAATTATAAATCAAGACAGCTTGCAGGCCATGTTAGAGGTGAAGCGCAAACCAAGCAGAAATTTCAGCAAAATAGACATGAAGGGGAATATCCCTATTGGAAACAATATACTCGTTTTTGTGAAGCATGATATTCCTATGTTGGACATGGAAAAAAAATGTGTTGATAGGCACAAGCCAATAAAACAAACAAGTGCACTAACTATCAGCACTAAAAACATCCATGTTTTTTTAATAATAAAAACGGTTTACATCTTCGGCCTTTGCTGTTAGACACACAACCAATGATTTCTATCTCTAAAATAAACGATATTAGATTATGGGAAAAATCCTGTTTCTCTCCAAATGATAACCAATTGAACTAATGAAATAAAACTCACATAGACTATAACATGGTTGCTAGAATCACGTTACCAGCTTGCAACTTATATATGGAGTTCAATATATGATTGTGTTTCAATTAATGAAGCAAATTCATTTCAGTTGAAGGATATATTATCTCGGTCAGGTGCTTCTTATTTATATTGACAACAAATGAAAGATTTGATAAATCGAACACCGTCGCTAAACTTGCCAAGCTGATATGGGACATCTTGTTTCCTTTGCTCTATATATGAACGTACGGCCGTACGCCTCAAGATATATAGTACTTATCCTGTACCTATTGCCACACATCAGTGGAGAGGTGCTTTATTTTCAGCATGCAATGCAAATAGTAAAGATATTGGCACATATATCATATTGGCGATCAATTTATGAATGATTGTGTATTACAATTGTATGCTTTGCAGAGCAAGAGCTTTCTATAGCTAACTACAATTCTAGCTAATTGATGAACTTATCATCGTTCCTTATTTTCCAAAAAAATAAAATATCATAAAGGGAAACTATATATATATATATGAGAGGTAACAACTGCTATAAAGAGAATTAATTTATTTTGTTGCACGTACTGTGTTTTCGACAGATATATTCATATTATATTATATATATGTTACTAGTTTATTACAAGCCACCTATGAGTATTAAGAATAATGAGTTCATAATAAACCCCGTGTCACAAAAGGCGAAAGGACCTGTAGCCTAGTGGTTACAAGAGCCTCAGTAGCACCTGAGGTCCTGGGTTCGACTCCCCGTGGGAGCGAATTTTCCAGGATTTAACGGCGTTGTGCTTTCAGTGGTAGGCGACGTACCCGTCGACAGCGAGGCGCCTGTGGTGACTTCATCAATCTCTCCAGGATTTGCCCGTACCCGTCGACAGCGAGGCGCCTGTGGTGACTTCATCAATCTCTCCAGGATTTGCCGGCCCAGTCTTCGAAGATGCTCATAGGGGTAGGCCGGTTTGCGTGCATGCGTTCATAGGGGTGACTGCGTGTGCGTTGTGAGTGTCTGCGTTGTACTGTGTAATTCTCAAAAAAAAAAAAAAAACCCCGTGTCTTTTTTGCCTATCTCCACCCCTAGACGGACTCGGCGGTGGCAAATGAGCATATCGGCACACTGCAGGTTTTGAAATTTTGTAACCCGCCTCCCCCGGGCAAGCACATATCTCACCCGAAATGTTCAGATTTTTCCAAATATTTATGAATTTGGTCAAAGTTTGTTCAAATTCAATCAAATATATTAACATTTCAAATAGTTTCATTAAAAAAACACCATAATTCTCGAAATTTTGGTGGTAAACATAACTATACTAACCCTGGCATCCTAGCGCCTATTGTTCAGGTAGATTTTTCTTTTTTTAAATCCATTCTAGCACAAATAGTTCGGAATTCAAGTCATGTGTTGTACCACACATTAGAATAATTAATGTTGGCAAACTTCTCGAAATTTTGGTGGTAAACATAACTATACAAACCCTGGCATCCTAGCGCCTATTGTTCAGGTAGATTTTTCTTTTTTTAAATCCATTCTAGAACAATTAGTTCGGAATTCAAGTCATGTGTTGTACCACACATTAGAATAATTAATGTTGGCAAACTTTGATAACAACAGTGAAAAATGGACCAGAATCAAACACATGCATTCAGCATTGTTGGAATCCATCCAAACAGATCGACCAATCATCATGTTTTGCTCAGAAGATTAATAGTGTGAAAGACACAATCAAGCCACACAACATTTAATATCCCAAAGTTGTACGAATCTTACAATTTAAATATCTAGGATATGTTCCACATGGCAATATATAAGACAAAACATAGCCAACACCAAAATAGTACACCAAAGTCGCTATTCCGGTCAATCTATTACAGCCATTATAGCACCATGTATTTATGTGTATCTTTTTGTCTACACTAAATTATTATTGTTCAACTCGATGGTGCAATCTGATGTGCATAGCTGGCGTAGATTGTCTAAAAACGATTTGTATGAGTGGAGATTGACAGAGGAAACCAATGACACCTTCCTAAGTAATTTTGAGTTTTCTACAATAAATAGTACCAACTGCTTCTCATCATACGTGCCCCCAAAGCCATTGATACTTAGTTCTTCAAGTGAACCCAATGAGATCTCTTGATCCCTCCAATTTGGCGGTTGGCGACAAGTGCAGTTGGGCTCGCATTGGATATGATTTTTCTGAGATACACAAAGAATTGAAATGATATAAAAAATATAAGCCCATTTTGATATATGAAGTAAATCGATAAAATGTATTCAAGCAATATATATATTTAATTGCTAGAAACACTCAACACAGTAATACAATAACAGACATACCTTTGGACATATTTCGAGAGAAAACCTTTTGATCCACCTGCTTTTCTTGAGGAGGTGTACAATGGTTGGGGCGAGAGTATGTTCTTTCTTTTCCACAATGAGTTCTAGCTCCAAGCAATAGGGTAGATCCACTGTGTGTAGAAATTTCTTTTGCTCCTCCGATTCCTGGCAAAGTGTCACGAAATAAATAATTAGAGTATAACACAAGTTGTATTACCAAAAACACTGGTCTATCGATCTATTTATGGTGGTTAATGTAACTGTGTGATGATATTTATATATAATAGCTAATTAAATTGTGTTAATCACATATTTAGTTAGCTAGGAACAAGTAAGGTTGTGCTAGGGACATAAAAGCATGAAAATATATTTAGATCTCATCCGATACTGCTAGGGGATGGACTTTCATGTGACAGAAATATAGAAATCTAGAATTAACTCCTCTAGCCTAGATAATTAAGCTACAGTGACAATGTACTTGTTTAGTTATAATAATCATTCTCTGTGCACGATCTTTATAATAATCTAATGCATTAATGCTCCCATACTGAACGTAATCAATTTTTTAATATCATATAGTAATGCACAACCTAATTAACTAGACCCTCCCCGCAAAAAAAAACTAATTGACTAGACCAGAAAAAAAAAACATAGTAACAAGTCAATTTCAATTTAGTACTCACACATACTAATTAACATGTGCCTATATATATATAACCGGCCGAGCTGACTAATTTGTATGTATATATACTCTCTTGAGCAGCTGCACTTAATACTACTCCCCTGCTCGTTGCGGTTAGGATAAGATTTGATCAATTTTTAAGATTCGTACCATCAATTATTAATTAGGATAAGTTTCTAAAATCTAATGAGTTCATGATAATAATTTTCAGGATAAAGTATACTATTTGTTTTCAAGATAAGCATTAATTTGAGAAATATATATTCGTAATGGTTGAGTTTTAGAAGCATACTTGGCTACTAAATCCTGTTCTAAAAACATCAAATATTTTTTTACTGTAAATCCGTAATATAATTAAGTCCATATACTAAGGCTCTAATAATGCAAAATCATGACGGCATAATAATATATAAGAGATGAGATCTAGATCATATGTACCGGTTTAATAGGAAATTCGATCTGAAGAACTTCAGTGCAAGTGCTCGAGAACAGCTGCAAGATCCTAGTATAAAACGATTGGCTTCCGCTGATGAACGACAAATTTGTCGAAGCAGAGTCGACGCATGCGATCTTGTGGATGAATCCTGCAGGTTCCCTGACGAGCTTAACCTCCTCGGGGCAGCAGTCCTTCCAGTAGAACTCCTCCATCGCCGGCGTCAACAGCGACATCGCCGACCCCTCCGTCTCCGCCGCATCGATGTCGAAGCAATCCTTCACCTTCATCCATCGGAGATTGGCTGCGTCTACATCAAGCAGTTGCAAGTCGTTGATTGAGACGACGCACAGGGTCAGGAGCGAGGTGGTGTGGATGGTGAGCTCCCTGGCGCCGGCGTGGATGTCGATGAGCTCGAGGGTTTTCAGGCACGGGCAGCCATGGGAGACGACCTCGCTGAGGAGCTCGCCCTCGTCGGCGACGAAGGTGTTCGACAGGTGCAGCTTCGTCAGGTGGGCGAACGTGCGGCCGCGGTGGTCGTCGGGCGCCAGCTGCACCGCCATGTCGGCGATGGAGATGGCGATCTCCGTCGCCCTCTCGAAGCACGGGAGCGCGAGGAGGTTGGCCTCCTCGTCGTAGTCCTCGGAGATGTTGATCCCGCGCGACACGTCGAGGCGGAAGCGGCCGGTGACGAGCCGGGCGGCGGCGCCGACGAGGGAGACGACGTCGTCGTTCTCGAGGCCGCCGAGCTCCTCCTCCTCCCCGACGTGCGCCGAGACGGTGAGGTCGCGCAGGTTCACGCGGGCGTCGTAGCGGCGGAGGACGCCGTCGACGAGGGCCGGGAAGGAGCCAACGGCCTCCGCCGCGCCGTCGTCGAGCCGCAGCCGCGGGAGGCCGGTCCAGACGCGGGCCCAGCGGCGGGAGAGCACGCAGGTGCGGATGGCCTCGACCACGGGGAGGAAGACGAGGATGTGGTGGAGCAGCGCGTCGGCGAGTGAGCTGATGCGGTCGGGGCCCTCGTAGGCGGCGGCGCCGACGGAGACGACGGGAGCCCTCTCGTCGCGCTCGAGCTTGGCCGGTGAGCTGCTTCCGTCGCGAGCCATGGGGAGAGAGATCGATCTAGGGTTTGCGCGAGGCGGCTGAGCGGCGGGAGCGCGCGCTGCTGCTTCGAATTCGAGACGAGAACGATGGAGTTGGGGAATTTTTGGCGGCGGCTAGGGTTTTGGGAAATGGGCCGGACTCTGGTCTCTATTTATATTACACACAGGCGTCCGCTCGAGTGGTTGAGTGGGAGGAATGGCCGTTAGATTCATCTGGGCCGTCCATTGAGACATCCAACGGTGTAATCACGTTGCACGCACGGTCGAGCCTTGGTCGTGGGAATTTCTGTACTGAGGCCTCGGTGTGTCGTTGTCTGATGCTGGTTCGCTTCTTCGTTACGGAGTACATAACAAAAAAGCGACTCCTGTCTGCTCCTCTGTCCCTAAAAGAATTAAACTCTACGGATAAATATGAACACATCACACACACACATATATCCATATTCATCTATAGAGTTTAATTTTTTTTGGGACGAAGAAAGTATATATTATTTGAAATAAAATTCTCACAAATCGTAAATTCTACTTCCTTCGTTTCACAATGTGAGACTTTCTTGCATTACCTACATTTATATAGATGTTAATAAATCTAGACATACATTCGTATAGATGCCTAGATTTATTAACGTATATATGAATATGAACAATGCTAGAAAGTCTTACAATATAAAATGGAGGAAGTACTATAGACTATTGGACCACTTTAAAATTTGTACATTATACCTCTAAACCTAACCCCTCATCTCTCCTCTTGTCACTCCCAGCGTTATCACCACCGCGAGTTGCGAACTTGCGCTCGATGCCCCAATTGTAGCCTAGCCTCGCAAGCTGAACGAAAGGGATCAACGGCGTCGGCAAGCCCTCTTCCCTGTATACGGTGGCTCTCAGCCACTAGATCCATCACCACCAGTTGCCACATCCAAACCACAAGATTCAGTTTGCCCCTGCCGCCAATGCCGCCCACCACCCTCCTCCACCCCCGTGGCTCTAGTGCATTTCTGTTCGCCCGTGTCCACCACCCACCACTGGGTGGCCACCTCCTACGACCATCCCTCTAAGCTCAATGATCTCTCCTCCCCTAACTCACCCTAAACCCGAGACTGTAAACCCAAACTCGTCGGACCACTGCCAGTCGCTGAAATTGGAGGAGACAGAGTTGGATAGCCAGAACACGAATTGCGAATATTAGAAATTTGCAAGATTTTAACCCCAATTTTCTGTCAATAACCATGTAGTGATTTCGAAAAAAACGGTTAGTAGATAGCCGTACTTAGAAAAAAAACATACAAGTCACTTTTATACATTATATAAATTAAAATTACTTACAATGTAATCACTTTTGGGGAACTTTTATGTGAACTACATGAACAGATCAGACAGTTCCGTGTGAAAATTTGGGGATTTTCTTGAATGTGAATGTTAATTAGGGAAAAAAATTGGGTTGAAAATGTACTCTCTCCGTCCCAAAAATACCCAACCTTGTACTAGGATGTGACACATCCTACGTTGGAGTATGCCACAAACCTAATAAGCCCATATATATATATATATATGTGTGTGTGTGTGTGTGTAAATGCATCTCGTGGTAGGCGTCTTAATATACATGTGGAATTTTGTTTTTACAGTCGGCTACTTATCCCCTCCTATAAAAATGGGCATTTGAATACTCGTTGTACATTACTGGAGAGATGCACATCTCTCCTAGTTCGCAACCCTCTTTATTCCGGGTATGCAACCGGGAGCGCGAATCCGGGACTAAAGATTCATCTTTAGTCCCGGCTAGTAACACCAACCGGGAGTAAAGTTTTTTTTTTCATTGTTTCTTCTGTATCCATATTGATTTCTAACCAAACTCTCAACCATAAAATCATCAACATTCACAAAAGCATCACAAAATCATCAACATCCGCATTAAGAATTCACATCACAAATATACAAATCCAAAGGCATCACAAATTAAAAAATTCACGTTCACAGATAATAAATCAACAAAATCCTCACGTTCACAGATAAGAAATCAACAAAATCCACCGCCGCGCTGTCACAGTTGCCTCGCGCCGACCAAGCCGCTTCCGCTGCCCGCTCCAGCCGGCGATGCTCGCTCCCCGTAGGCCGCGCGGGGACGTCGCCGCCTCCCGCGCCAGCCGTCGGCGTTTGCTCCCGCGCGGGCCACTGCACGTAGGCCGCCGCCGCCGTTCGCTGCGAGAAAAAAAAAGAGAGGATAAGAGAGCAGCGAGAAAAAAAGAGGAGAGGATAAGAGAGAGGAGGAAAGGGGATGAGGAGGAGTTTTCGTTCCAGAGGGTAAGTGTTAGGGACCGGACGCTTTTTTCAACTGGGAGTAAAAATGATCTGTAGTCCCGGTTGATAACACTAACCGGGACTAAAGATTATAAAAGTGCGTTGAGCTTTTTAACCGGGACAAAAAATGGTTTTTAATCCTAGTTCCAATAGGAACCACGACTAATATGGTTTTATGCTGAACCAACAAAGATCAGTTCTCCAGTACTCCAGTCTCCAGTAGTGCTAGTAGAAACGACTACCAACCCGCATTTGAAAATGCATTATACTTGCTTGTATCGTATTAGTGGAATTTCAGAGATTAATCTAGAATTTCAAACAAAAGTTTCAAATAAAATTTAAATTTTGAATAACCTTTTTTTGTTGTTGCATTTGAGCTTACCTTTATACGTTGCCTCGTCCTCGCCTCTTGCATCCCGGCCACCAGGCCTGGCACATCAGGTGTTTTCCCTCTGGACCTCCGCAAACCTATAGTACTCGCGCCGGCACCAACTATATTCCTGTCAACCGACCGAGGCCTCACACCGCTAGGTAGCGATCCCAATTTTTTCTTCAAACTTTCAACTTTTTCCATCATATCAAACTTTTCTACTCACATAAACTTCCAACTTTTTCGTCACATCGTTTCAATTTCAACCAAACTTTTAATTTTAGCGTGAACTAAACACAGCCTAGGTCAGGAGCAACGGCAAGGAAGTCACCATGCCTCTAGAGAGGACCAGAGGCTGTTGCATCGCCTTGCAGAGTCCCCGATATTCTAGTGAGGAGAGCAAGCTGCTGGGCAAAATGCAGGGCTGTCGGTGAGGGTGTGCAAGGTGCAGGCGACTGAACATGCCTCCAAAATTAGAGGCCCTAAAATTTTCATATGTTAATCCACTTCAGATTTGGACCGCTGTGAGGATGGGGGTGGTGATTCCTCTGGTTTGAAAAGTTGAAGGATGTACAATATTTTGTATTGAAGTTGAGTGGTGTAAATCGAACTTCTGCGATTTATAGTTGAGGGGGTCAAATTTGATTGAACCCCTATAGCTAGTATGCCAAGAGTTTATACAAACCAACAATTTACAAGTGACTTTTCGATCACCAATGCAGTTTGCAATAGGCTGTAATGAATCAAATTATAAGCGCAAACCAACAAAGCGGGGCATGCACTTCGATCATTTAGTTAGTTGTCTCGCAATGATTTCAAATGCATGACCACTAGACTAGTTATAACACAAAAAAATAACTCTCTCTTTCATTACAATATTATTCTAGCAAACATACATAAGCTAGTAATACCAGAATAGTGCACAAGGACAGTAGTTCTCCACAACCAAATTTGGTACACATACTCAACAAAAGTTCAATAAATCACTGCATGCTTCTTGAATATTGCCCCATCAAACCTTTGTCACTATAATTTTTTCCAGTCCACTATAGCAGTATTTCTCTCTACACGGAAAGTTCAACTCGATGGTACATCCAGTCATTGATAGTTTTCGTACATGGCACAGAAACCGTCTATATGAACAATGACCATTCGAGAAAACGAGAGTTATCTTTTTAAGTACTTTTGAATTTCGTATAATAAAATATACCAACTTCTTTGCTTCACGATGGCCCGAGATGTGTTTGATGGCTAGTTGTTCAAGGGAGTCTAGTGGGATATCTTGATCCCACCATTTAAGTGGTTCGTGGCAAGTGCAATTAGACATGCAGCATGGAGCAAATTTGTTTTCCTGAAACAGAGAGATATAGTGATATAACTAAACTGATTGATAAAGCAAATGATCCATAACTAACAGTGCCAAAAAAAGTAGATATTTTTTGGGCAAGAGAGATGAAATTAAGGTAAAACATACCTTAGGATGATATGGATTTAGTGTAAGAGTTAAGTTTCTGATGGAGCTATTTCTCTTGAGGAAGTGTACAACAGTTGAGCCAAACGAGCTATGCCCATTTGTTATCACGCCGAGGTCTAGCGCTGAATAGTATGGAAGTTGCACGCTGTGTATAAGGCTCTCTTGCTCTTCCGAATCCTGCAAAATTAACAACATCACCAATGGAATAATTAAACAAGGTATATATATATATATATATATATATATACTTTCACACGAAATATTAAAAAAAATGCTGTATCCTGGAAGAAGTGACACAAACGAAAAGTTCACTACGGAATATTGTAAATACACACTGTCATTAGTACTCATGTAAGGTCAGTGCACAGGCCAAATTATTCGGTCCCAACTTACTAATTAACTTCATATTTCCCTAACGTATGTATATGTATGTACGTAGCTTACATTGTGATTGCCTACTTCTTGATCTGCAGAGGGCACGCATAAGAAGATATATAGCATCATAAAGGCATGCAAGAATTTCAGCGAGATCCATTAGTTGCTAAACTAGTTGACAAACCTAACTAAGTATGAGTATGTGACTTACACAAAAAGATGTGTACACTGATAAAAAAAAAAACCAACCTAGCTGTGATATTGACAAACTTATTAAACTCTATGCTTTTCTTTAAAAAATCTAAATTCTATGTACCTAAACAATCTCAAGGACGCAATTTACGCACGCCAAAATACTAATTAAACATCAACAAGATAAATAAATATAATTAAATAAGTAAACAAATAAAGAAAGAAAGAAATACCAGTGTAGCTGTAGCAGTCATAGGAGAAGTGAGCCTTAAAACATGAGCACGAGAGAAAAGCTTCAAGATCTTGGTGAAATCCGATTGCCCAATCTCGTGAATAATATGAGAAGGAAGCTCGACGACGGCGAGCTCCATGAGGCAGCTAGGTAAACTAATCAGCTCGACCTTGTCGGGGTACGCGTCCTCCCAGCCGAGCTCCTCCAGCGCCGGCGCGGCGAGCCGCATCGCCGCGCCGCCGGTCCACGGACAGCGGCTCGTCCCGTCGAAGCAGTACTTGACCCGCATCTTGCGCATGTTGCCGGCCGCCACGTCGAGCCGCCGCAGCGGGACATACGCGAGGCGCAGGCTCAGCAGCGAGTCGCTGCGGAGGGTGAGCGCCTCCATGCCGTCGATGTGCTCGAGCTCGAGGCACTCCAGGCTTGGGCACCGGCGCGAGACGACGCCGCTGATGCCCTCGCCGGCGTCGCTGAAGCGGAGCTCGGACATCCGCAGCCTCGTCAGGCGGGTGAAGCCTCCGGCGGCGGCGGCGTCGTCGAGCGCCGGGAGGCGGACGGCCATCCCGGAGGAGTAGAGGGAGATCTCCGTCGCCCGCTCGAAGCACGGGAGATCGAGGACGGCGTCGTCGTCGTGGCCTACCTGGGTGGTCACGGCGAGGTAGAAGCGGCCGGTGACGCTGCGGGCGGCGAAGGCCGCCCACGCGGAGGCCCGGTCGCCGTCGACCTCGGGCCAGTCCCAGTGGTACGAGATGGCGAGGTCGGCGATGTCCACGTCGGCGGCGTAGCGGCGGAGGATGCCGTCGAAGTGGTCCGGGATGTGCCCGGCGCTCGTCGCCTCCTCCTCCAGGAGGTGCAGCCGCGGGACGCGCTTCCAGACGCCGACCCACCGGCGGGACAGCGCGCTGGTGCGGACGGCCTCCGGCGTGGTCACGAAGCTCAGGACATGGTGGAGCAGCTCGTCGGGGAGGCTGCTGATACGGTCCGGACCACCGTAGTAGCCACGGCCACCGCCGGCGCCGGCGCCGACGGATCCGCCGGACAGAGAAGCCTTCTTGTGCGCGGCGCACCTGTAAGCCATTGGGGAAATGGGGATTTGAGCTAGCTCTGAAGGAGAAGAAATGGAGGAGAAATCTAGGGTTTCGTGTTTCGTCTCGTGGCGGCGTTGCTGCGTCGATCGAGCGAGAGGAGGAGTACGGGAGGCTGCCTCTGCTCCGAGGCTTTACATAGCGGCTGTGTGGGAGAGAGACAACTGATGCATGTGACCGTTGGTTTCATCCGAGCCGTCCATCGCACGAGTACCGTATGTGTGAGTGTGAAACCGTCCGAAACCTAGCTTATTTCCTATAATACTGGTCGATCCTTTTATTTTCTTTTTTTGAAAATGGATTCAAACCAGACATCTACATCCAAAAAATAATAATGTGTGAAACCGTCCGAAACCTAAGTGCCTGTTCTAAAAAATAATAATTACCTATTCTGCTGATCATATATCCCTGTCTGGAGCTGAAGTCTAATGGAAATATGGAATGATACATTCCCATGTAAAAAAAATATATGCCTGCGTTTGTATGATGAAAGTACAGTAATTAAATTAATTACTTGAACATGAAAAATTAGCATCACAAAGTGCTGCTTATATTTCATTGGTTTCGATCAGATTCTCTGATGAGAGAAGAATATGAAACAAAATCGTCTCTAACCAAAAACTATCTAAAGTCAACAAGGGGCTGCTCACTTCCATCAAATGTTCTTCAATTCTTCTACTGCGCATGCACTTCCAATCAAGCAGATGTTGCAGACGTAGGAGTACGTCGGTCAAGAAACCGCGCAGTATATACTATACTCCCGTCCCAAAAAAAAAAAAAAAGACAAACATTGGGTTTCCGTGTCCAACGTTTGACTGTCCGTCTTATATGAAATTTTTTTATAATTAGTATTTTCATTATTGTTAGATATTGATAAAACATGATTAATATTTTCTGCGTGACTTGTCTTTTTAATTTTTTTTTATAATTTTTTTAAATAAGACGGACAGTCAAACGTTGGACACGGAAATCCATGGTTTGTCTGTTTTTAGGATGGAGGGAGTAGAGTATAGATATGCAGACGAGATTTCTTGGTATGCAAGTATATACCGTGTTCTTGGCTTGCAAGATCACCCACGCAAGTTCAGAGCGAACGACGGCAGTTAATGCAATCTACTCCATCTTTCTAAGTTTTCTGGTGCTGCCTTGATTAATTAGTTCCGCACAATCAACCTCATGCTAATTTCAGCTGAAGTTTTTTCCCGGCGAAAAATTTCAGCTGAAGTTTTTTCCCGGCGAAAAATTTCAGCTGAAGTTTTGCAAAGATTATTACTTCTTCAAGAAATGGCATGCGCGCTAATGCAATATAATTCAGTGGTCACATGATATTCTTTCCCCTGAAATGAGAAAATAATGTAACTATGATATTATATTATTACACGGGCATATATTAAGAGATACCCTCCCGGTAAAAAATATTTATCATTTAATTAGGACAAGATTGTGTGGCATATATTAAGAGATACCCACCCCGGTAAAAAATATTTATCATTTAGGACAAGATTGTGTGGAACCTTTCACAAAGTACATATATTTAGTTCGATCACTAGATAATATTAATGACTAGAAACCAACATAGTGCCGGATGTGACACATTGTAGTACTACATATGAATCTGGACATATACGTAGTATATATAACACATTTCAGTATATATATGCCGGTGGTGTGTATATATATATATATATATATATATATGTATATATATATATATGTATATGTATATATATATAGTGCACACAGGCCCTCACGTGTACACACGTGCACACCAACTAAAAAATATCACCAAAAAATCTAGAAAAAATCATACACATACTTTCAATTGTATTACACCTAGGGTTCAAATCTTAACGTCAAATTCATTATATTTTAGCCGTAACAAAAAAAACAAAAAATCTGACAGTTTTAAGGTTGCAATTTTGTCAGAATTTTATCTTTTTTGTTATTCTCTATGTAGAATGAATTTGAAGATGCGACTTTGCACGTAGATGTAATACTATTGAAAGTACATGTATGAATTTTCCTAGAACTTTTTTGTGATAATTTTTAGTTGGTGTACACGGTGTGTACACGCGAGGTCCTGTGTGCATAGGATACGCTCCCATATATGTATATATATGTATATATATATATACGGTGGCGCTACACAGCGCCACCCACAGGTGCTACGCGCCACGAAACAAAATGGCGCCAGACACAAACGAGGAGAGGTCAGCCCACCACCGACAAAATCCCACCAACGAGGCATCCAACCCACCCGCGGAGTTAAAATTTAACTTAGATACAGTTGGTGGTGGTGGTGCGGTGATATCGTTGAGGAGTTAATATTATGCGATGATTCAGTTGGTCTGAGTTAAAGTTTAACTTAGATACAGTTGGGTGGTGGGGTAAAACCAGCGGAGTTAAATTTTAACTTAGATACAGTTAGGTGGTGGGTGCGATGACGTCGTTGAGGAGTTAATATTATACATGGTTTCAGTTGATATGAGTTAAAGTTTAACTTACGTACAATTGGGTGGTGGGATGCGATGACATGGTTTTGGAGTTAAAAAATTACTTGTTGTTGTTCAATTCTGGATGATATGTGATTGAGTCTGGTTGCTGCTGAGTTAAAAATTAACTCGCGATACAAAACTGCAGGACATCGTTGTAGAGTTAACTCAGTTTGTATGAGTTAAATTTTAACTTGTGTACAACAAGATTTTAACTCAACATATACGTCTTCACAATCTATAAGCATAAGTTAATTTTTTGTCGGCACTTGCTCCGGACATCAACGGCGGAGCGTCATGGAGGTGTTCGTCGCTGCTCCTCCATGTCCTTCGGTGTTCGAACACGCCGCCGCGGAGGTCGCCGCCGTGTGCGTGGGGCGCGGAACGGCGGCCCGATCCGCCGCCGCCTCGGCTGTCGCCCGCAGTCCCGCAGTCGCCCCGTCACGGGATCCGCCGTCGAGCCACCTGCATCCACGCCTGACACGCACCACCGCAACCGGATCCGTGTACGTGGGGCGTGGAGCGGCGGCCGGATGCGCCGCCCCCTCGCCTCGCCATGCCATGTTGGATCCGCCGACGCCTCGCCTTCCCGGGCAGGATTATCCCCGGATCCATCATCACGCCGGATACGCCCTACCATGGCCGGATCCGCGCGCGTGGGGCGTAGATCGGCGGCTGGGTGCGCCGCCTCGTCGCCTCCTACACGCCGTCAACCGTCGCCTCCACGCCTGCCGCCGTGTCGTACCGGATCCGTCGACGTCGCGCCCGCCGCCGCTCGGCAGTGGAGGTGGCGCTCGACGTCGCGCCGCCAGCCGTGTCGTGCCGGATCCGCCCAATGCCGCCACCACTCGCCGCCACGCCCGCTCGCCGCTCTCATCTCCGAAAAAATAGGATCTACATATGTGGTTGGTTACGGGGTGGATGTACAACACTGGTATATATATACACTAAAAGTTGAGTAACATCAAGTTAAATTTTAACTCAAATACGTGGTGGTGGGTGGGGGGAAGGTGGGACAGGGTGGTGGTGCGGCTGTGTCAGGCGCCATCTAATACGTGGCGCCTGTAGCGCCATATAGTAGTTCTATATGTATGTATATGTATATATATGTATGTATATGTATGTATATATATGTGTATATATGTATATATATATGTATATATATATGTATATATATATATGTATGTATGTATGTATGTATGTACGTGATTGAAAATGTGTCATTTCATATATATCAACAATATACTGAAATAATGGAGAATTATTTTATTTGATGATAAGCTGCTTTAGCAGATTATGTATGCCTCACTGACATGTAGTAGATGCTACCATAACATATTAAATCAACGTAAAGAGTGGATTTGAATCTTTTTAGACCTACATGACACCCAAGACAAATTCGAGAATTTAGAAATACATTTTGAGAGTGATATCTAGATGACACACTCGCATAAGTTTAGGATAGTCCTTATACTTATCAGCCTCATCTTTTCGCTTATGCTTATTCTTATCAGCCAAAATTCGAATTTTCAACTTTAAATTTGGAGTTGATTTTGAGGTTTTTGTTACTGGGATTTTGAGGTTTTTTCATCGGAGTTTATTTTTCAGCTTTTGCTTTTAGATCACTAAGAACACGTATATATATATAAAAGTTTTATTCACAGATTAATTTTCGTTTGCATATATGCCGTTTCCCTTATTCCCGGAATAAGCGAAATGATGGAGCACTTCACTCTTGTTTTTTATTTTGGCCGGTTTCAATTCTGGAACGGGCAGAACATCTTTCAGAGAAATCATCATCGATCAGCCTAAAATCAACCAGGGACTGTTCACCGACTTTACAATATATTTCTTCTGAGGAATAGGTACAATCGGGGACTGTTCATCGCCTTTACAATCGGTACATACTATGCTGCAGGCAACAGCTCAGGCTGCATTTAGTTCGACGTAAAGTTTAGATTTTGGTTGAAATTGGAGATGATGTGACTGAAAAGTTGTGTGTGCATGACAGGTTGATGTGATGGAAAAGGACTGAAGTTTGGATCTAAACTTTGGATCTAAACACAGCCTCAGAGCAGCTAGCTAGCCACAGATACCGAGGAACGAAATTTCCTTGGCTTGGAAGGCACTGTATTTTCTTTGCTAGCAAGAGATCACCCTGTTTTAATTTGTAAAATATTACAGGCTGCACGTTCAGAACAACGGATGGCGACGCAATCTCTCATAAATTTATGATTCTATTTCTTCTATGAGACGTGCTCGTCCAAAAATCACCTTCTAAATACTCTATGTCTCAAAATAAACAAACTTAATACGAGATGTGGCATATATTACTAATAGTATATATGAATCTGAACATGAGATGAGGAATGTGTCCAGATTCTGAAACCAAAGAATTAATAAAAACAGCACTATGTGATATATGGATGCTAACTTCCTCCGTTTCATAATGTAAAACTTTATAGGATTGTCCACATTCATATAGATGTTAATGAATCTAG